TGATCTTACTCAAAGGGAACCCATTTTGAATGTTGTCTTTTGTTCGAAATGCCACATAATGTTAGCGAAAGTCTTCAAACATCCCAGGATTCTTTGGCGGTGGCAAGTTGGAAGATCAACTTAGAGAATTGTCCTCGCGCTTTCGTTCTTGGGCTCGCGTCCACCAATTTCAGTCACTCTAACTACACTTGAGTTACTTTGCAATGCCATATGGCTCAAAATAAACATCAACCCTAACCCAATCACAAGTCAAAAGCTTGTTGCTGCGAACCACAGAATGCCCGGCAGCAACCTATAGGCACAGTCTGTGCTCCGCTCTATAGGCTATAAGCGTTTAAATTTTGAAGCTTCTGCCCCCGGTTTGCCCGGGAACTACTTCTAATATATGTTTGGTAACCAAACACAAATTTTGAGCCATATAGTCATATAGCTCTTTTTCTTGGTTTGGGGTCCCACAATATATTTTTTTTTGGAGAAGCAAAATGCTTCATGTGGTGAGGCATTCGCAGGGATACATCACTGTGGGGATGTTGCACATGACCGACGGGTTCCCTGCTCTGACATGCAAAGCCTGGAATGGTCAGGTCCTACTGACTTTTCTAGATTCATGTGCCAGTATCTTGTTTCAGCAATACCCAGAGGAGGAAACTGAGTTGGCCTCTTTGGCTTCGCGGGCGATGGTTTGCTGGTTCGACCGTTTAGCACGGTATGGGAGATACCTCACCGAGATTGAGGCCAAGGACATTTCCAAATTTGGTTTTACTTTCTTGACGCTGTACCAGAAGTTGGGGTACTTTTCCATCATCCACAATTGTGGAAGATGGAAGTTGCTTCCAAAGCACCATCCCTTTCGACATGTCAATGAAGATATGTTGTCAATGAGAGTGAACTATCGATACGTTCACACATTCAAAGATGAGGACAATGTAGGGGTTCTCAAGAAGTTGGCGGAACGCGTCACCAAAGGTGACATAATGGAATATAGGGTGTTGTGTCGGTTTCTTCTGAGGTTGGCAAGCTGGCAACCATCTTAGGGAAACCCGTTTGATCAATTATATATATAATATACATACACATACCACAAAACTACCAGAAAAAATACAGAAGGTGAACAACACCAACTCCCTGAGACCAGTTCCAACTCTCTCCAACCGAGCTTCGGATGCCGATGTGGGGCTCCATGGGAAAGAGCCGCAGGGAGGTCAGCTGCAGATGGGATAGGGTGCACCCCCAAATTACCAAGGAGTAAATAAATGTTGTCTGGATGAAGTGTTATGTCTATAATTAATTGCAATTTTTGGTGAACGCAGGGGCCCTTAAGTTCTAGCAAATTTACCGGAAAATATGTTTCCCGCAAATGTAGTCAAAATTTGGCTACGGACATCAAATAAGGCCTACGGACGTCAGAAAACAAGGTATTCCGCAAATGTCAGCAAATAGAGCCAACATTTGATCCTCAGGGATACATTACATACATTACATACATTACATACATTACATACATTACATACATTACATACATTACATACATTACATACATACATACATACATACATACATACATTACATTACATTACATTACATTACATTACATTACATTACATTACATTACATTACATTACATTACATTACATACATACATACATTACATACATACATACATACATACAATACAATACAATACAATACAATACAATACAATACAATACCATACATACATACATACATACATACATACATACATACATACATACATACATACATACATACATACATACACACATACATATATACAATACATTACATTACATTACATTACATTACATTACATTACATTACATACATTACATTACGTTACGTTACGTTACATTACATTACATTACATTACATACATTACATTACATACATTACATTACATTACGTTACGTTACGTTACATTACATTACATACATTACATTATATTACATTACATTACATTACATTGCATTACATTACATACCATTACATACCATTACATACCATTACATTTCATTACATTACAGTACATTACAGTACATTACATTACATTACATTCCATTGCGTTACATTACATTACATTACGTTACATTACATTACGTTAAATTACATTACATTACATTACATTCATACATACATACATAATCATACATACATACATACATACATACATACATACATACATACATTACATTACATTACATTACATTACATTACATTACATTACATTACATTACATTACATAACATAACATAACATAACATAACATAACATTACATTACATTACATTACATTACATTACATTACATTACATACATACATACATACATTACATTACATACATACATACATACATACATACACCAATACGGTACCGTATGCCCTCAGCTTTAAGTACTTGTCAAATGGCCAAGTCCAAAATCCTGATGTAAAATCACCGTTGTTGCCGAGCTGTGGGAAAGTGAAAGGCAAGGGACAAGCCTAGCTGTAGCCATCTGCCAGGCACTCCTGACTTTCAATCTCCTCACTCTCGCTCTCACACCTTGCAGCGGTGAAAGGTTTCAACATTGCAACTGGCGTTGCCCCAAGGCTGATACTGTACAACCCCTAGATCTACTGCACCCGTACCCTTTAAAAAAATATTTAAAAAACAAAAAAAAATGAAAAATCATTGAAAATCCACCATGTGTACATCATGTCCTGAGGAAACCCACCTGAGACATAGTGAACTGACATCCCGGAGATGCTAAGCATCGGAGCGTGGGCTTTTAAACATGGTTTGCACCTGGAAAAATGAATGATCTCCAACTGCCAGGCCTGGGTGGCAAATGATGCCGATCCCCAGTTTTCTCAATTAATTCCCCCGTTCCTTGCGCAATTCCAACTGACAAAACATGGTGAAGTGTATTCCAAAAGATGGTTACAAGATGGTTGCCCTTTCGTATTCAAACACGGCTGGCTGGGAAATCCCGACATGAATAGACGTTTGTGATGGTTTTCATATTGGAACATCATTCATAAATTCTTGGATTTAAAATTAAATTCCGACCGGCCATGTTTGATCACCCAAGGACAGCTCGCTCATCAAAACACCGGGCAACTGGCCTGGCATTTCGACTTCCTGAAGGCTTTGCTTCATCCTCGCTGCCGCTGAAAATTTGCGTCTGAAAAAACAAATGGCTTCATGATGAGCTGCAAAAATGGTTACTCCCCGGTACCTTAATATAGCTAGCATGGCCCATTGATGATTTAAACATACATGATCTAACTAGTAAGAATATTTAAAAGTGCCGATTTTCCAAAATTCTAGAACAAATTACCAAAGGGTAAACAGTTGGGTAAACGGTAAGCATATGAAAAAAATGTTTCATGAGCGCAGCTCCTTGAGTACCTTGAGTAAAGCTTCCACGAAAGCGTTCGAGAAAGGGTTCCATGATGTTCCAAGATCACCCTCTGGCAATTGAAATTTATTGAACATAACATAGCTATTGACAAATCCCATTTAGACTTGATTTACCTGCAAAAAATTGTTGATTTTCCATAGCTATCTCATTTTCCAATAGTTTCCATGATGCCCCCAGGGCACCTTTAGCCGCAGGGAAATTAGATCGCAAAAACGGGAAGTATGATTGTCTGCATAACCGGTCTATATACATAAACATGGTATCTATGTAAATGTGCATATGTTTTTTGTTAAAAGACTTCATTATACGTGTAATATATATATATATATTACTATGTATAAATTACTACGTATAAATATAATTATATATATATATTACTATGTATATATATATATATCTTACTATGTGTATAAATATATATATATATATATATATTATATATTGTTTTGACATATGTATGTGTTGATCTCCTTGTTTTTTCTTTCTCTCTCTCTCTCTCTTTTTCCGGCATGTATATATATATATCATTCTATAAAACACACGTGTTGTATAAACAGATTTATTTAATATGCCCTGTGCCCATCCATCCCTTGCCTCTTTGGCTTCGTCGCTGTCGTTCTGTCGATTCAAACAGTCGTTCGCGGACTTCACCAAGTGGTGCCTGAGAGCAAAACTACAATATAGATAAGTCCCTACTATTGCGATGGTTATTCTGTGAAACTGGCCTAATGTGGGTAAATCATTGCCGTAAACCATCCCCCAATCATTACCATTTTTATAGGTGGTATTTCATGGATTTGTACCATTCCCAGTCACGGATGGTTTATGGCATTGTTTTACCCACCTTATCCCATCATTAACCATGATTAACCATTATTATCCCATGATTATGCCCATTATCAACCATCATTAACCTTTATTATGGTAGATTAACCATCATTAACCCACATTAATGTTTCAAAAATGTCCATTCCTTTTGAAGGGTCTCTATGTCGTCTTCCCATTTTTTTTGGCTCTGAACTTTTTGGAAACCGATCAACCCACGGAAGCACAGGGCAAGCCAAGCGACATCGAATCCTGCAGCTTCGTGTAGTCCTGGAAAAACGATACCGAAGCAGGTTGAAAAAATCTGCAGAACACTCATTTGGATTGGTTTACGGGAAAATTTGCAGGAAACCCCCTTGATTTTAATGGTGAAAACAATGGTTTCCTGTAGATTTTCCCTTAAACCAATCCAATGAAATACACATATTTGTTCGCATCAAATAAGAGCGTGTTTGGCGTAGGTTTGCCTGAAAAACCATTTTGGGGGGTTGGAAGACCAACTTCGTCTGCAAAGGGCGATTCTCAGGCGTCTGCACGGTTTGTCAAAATCCCACGGGCCTATGAAGCGGCTATAGTTTCATATGTATACTACATCACAAGTAAGCGCAGCATGTAAAACATGTATATATATATATATCAAATAACATGTGTTCTCATCAACCGGGACATTCAACGTCTTCAATAAATGATTTCACAATATTTCACATATAGATATTATGTACATTAATATATATATATAATCAGTATATCCGAAGATCAATTGGCACATCGATCCTGGTCTGCGAAGGTCAACACAATCTCCAGCTCTTTCGCCAGGGATCCCACGGCGGCCATGCGCTTGGGACACTGAGATCTGTCGCCCACCACCTGCGACAGAAGAGCGGCCCCGTAACGGAAGGGGCTGGAATGAGGGAAGGGGCTGCATCTTAAAACTTCTACTATCATACTATTAATTATCTAAATATGATTTATAAATAAATATATATATATATGTATATATATATATGCAATTATATATTTATTTATATATATATGTATATAATTATAGTGTATGCAAATGTATTTATTTGTATACACATATATATATGATATATATATATATATTTATATATGATATATATATATATATATACATGTGCATATAGATTAGACATATTCATGAGTTATATATACAAAAAAATATGTTGTGCATTATTATAGTCTGATGTCAATTCATTTTGAAAGGAACGGAATTGGACCATCCCCTCGCCCTGGACCTGTGCCCACAAGGCCGTGGCCGAATGCGGTGCCATCAACGGATGCACCACCAAGTCCAAGACCTGGATCCAGGATGGGGTCAAGACCCAACCACAACATGCGCAATTTCAGCAGCTAAATCCCAATTTGAGCTGGGTTTCACCAACGTTCATCAACAATTTTGTTGTTTAAGCTCCCATTTCTACTGGTTGAAAACATTTTGAAACACATTGTTTCTAATGTTTCTAGCTTGAGCCCCGCATGATTTATTGTCTAACCATTTGTAACTATCAATTCCAAGAGCTAAATCCCGCTGTTTTTAGCTTACAGTAATCATTGCTTAAACCACAATTTCCACGGCTCACAATAAAACCCAATCTTTCCAGCTTCAAACTTCATTTCCATCTTTTGAACTGGTTAAATCCACATGTTTGTGGCCTTCTGACACTCCCTTTCAATGTTTGTTCAAATCTGTACCGGTTGACATGCAATTTGTGTAGCTTGAAGCATCATTTTAATTCATGTTATATATACAATTTTTGCTGGTTAAAACCACCACAATCCCCACTAGTTACACACCCATCTTCCCATATTTTTCAGGGTTGTTCAAATACCCAGGTACAAGGGGGCTAAAATTGGTAAAAATTCAAAAGCAAAATGACGAAATGACGAATACACCACCCTAATGGGTTGGAGCAACTCTATTTTTCCTGATTGTATCTCCGATTAAACATATTCCAGATATCATGATGATATATCCCTCCATATACTGTATAAATATATATATATATATTATGTCGTAAATCCCAGTTATATCACCATGATCACCAGATTTTTTCATCACTTCGCCAGGTAAGATACCATATATCACCCATACTCTTCCCTTCTGTTTAATATCATCCTTCATATATTTCCACATTTCCATCATATATCATCAATTTCTATAGGTAATATCGTCAACTTTAAGTCTCATTAGGGTAATATCATAGGTAATATCATCAACCCTATAGGTAATACCATCAACTCTATCATCAATTTCTATAGGTAATACCATCAACCCTAAACGTTAATTTAGTTAATATGTTAATATAAGCTTTTTCGTAGAAAGTCTCCCAATCCTACCACCAGATTGGTCCATCATTTTGTCCCCGTTATATCACCATGATCGCCAGATGTTTCCATCATTTCGCCAGGTAAAATACCATATATCACCAATCATCCTTCATATAAAAACGTGTTGTTTTTCCGGAGAAAAAAACACATCAGAAAAATGTCCCGATTTTGAGGATGCAGGTATTACCCTCTGGTATACTAACAGTTAGCTATTGAAAATGGCCCAGTCGAAATAGTTGATTTATCCATTAAAAATGGTGGATCTTTCCATAGTTTTTTGTGCGTTTACCAGAGGGCACATGGTATTTCCATATTCCCATCATTTTTCCAATGGGGGGTCCCAATAGATTATTTAAGCACCGACAAGGGGTATACCTGGAATATTTATTGAAGGTACTCCCCCATTTTTCCCATGGATTTTCCCATTTTTCCCATGGATTTTCCCGTGGATCACGGATCAGCACGGCCTTGGCCAGGCTAAAGCGCCAGGCATCGGCCCATCCTCCGCTGTCGCAGAGCCCTTTGACGAAGCGCGGCATCTGCCAGGCCGCCGAGGCGGGCCCCTCCGGGTGCTGCAGCAGGCGCCGGAGGTACCTGTTTTGGAGGTGAAAATCATGGGAAAATGCGCGGAAAATGATGATTTGACTAGAATTTTGATGGAATTTCAATGGGATTTATGAGCAATATTACGGACAAATGATGGATTTTGGTGGAACATGGATTCACTGAAGTTTTATGACATGCAAATGGGAATCAATATAGGGGAATAATGGTAATATGTAATCTGGATAATATTCATTAATTTCATTAAATAACTATCGGCTATCTATTCCGGCTGAGGATATGAACTGGGGTGTGTTGAGGATGCGACATATCATGGGAAAATGGTTGGAATAACTGGGATTATCTCAAAACCTTGATTGCGTGGTGGATTTATTCTTTTTTAATGGGAAAATAACATATCATCGTACGTTAGTCCAACAAGATATGTGATGTGTGTAACTTACTAGGTCCGAAGTCCCCGTCCCATGGCCTCTCTGCAGGCCCAGGTTTTGAATATTGCCGGTTTGACCTAAATCAACTCTAAACCAACTCTATACATGTTGTATGCTCAGTGGTGTGAAACCACCAATTTCATGAGACTGTATATAGGGGTTTCCATGAATTGGGGTACCCCCAAATCATCAATTTTAAAACGGGATAAACCATCCATTTTAGGGTACCGCACATTTGTGGAAAACCCCACATGTGATATCCCGACAAATCTTCTCAAACTGCTGGCCCCAACATGGTTCAAGTTCAAGTTCCAACGACGTAATCTGGAAGGCGCGCAAGCCTCCAACGTCACACCCTCCAACAATAGATTTGGACAAAAAGTGAACATAATTATCATATCCAGTTATTTTTTAATAGATGATTATACAATATTATACAGGTGTCTGTGTGTGTTTATGCACATTTTGTTTCACATTTGCGCCTGTTAATTCACCTATTCTGGTTTTCATCTTATGGCCCTTTGTTTTCTCCTGCTGAGCCGCTGTAGGAAGTCCTCCAGCGTTTGCTGCGCTTGCAACGCCTCCTTCGGTGATCAACGGCATTGTTGAAGGGATCACCCACGTTCTATCCATCGTTCTATCCATTTATGGAGGTTCCATAGTCATGGGGGTACCCCAAATGGATGGTTTAGAATGGAAAATCCCAACAAAAAATGGATGATATAGGGGTAACCCATTTCGGGAAACCTCCATTTAAAGATGAGCGTCAATGGAAGGAAGGTGATTTTTATCAAATGCCAGGGCAATTACCCCGTTTGAAGGTGGAATTGAGGAATTGCCAAACTCTAACATAGATATGGAAAACCCAGGGTTTCCGGAAAAAACACATATCTACGTTCGGGATTTGCACATCTCTGAAAATTTCACGAGCATCGTAGCAGTGCTTTAAACATATGTATCATCTACGCTGAACTGGGTAACATGACAAATCAACAAACATCCCAAATAGTTTTAGATATGATATAGCTAATAAGAACTGGGCTAGTAGTTTTGTTTTCCTTTTTTTTCTGGTAAAACACGTGCTAAAACATTGGCATAAATGCGCTTATAATATAAAATGTAATATCTTTAAAATGCCCTATCACATTTACATGTCTTGCTACTGGGTTAATCAGCACAAAAAACAAAACAAAAAACATCAACTATCATTAACTAATGATATTCATTCGTTAACTAGTTAAATCAATGACAATTACCTGGTAGTGAAAAATGGCTAGCTGGAAAATCTCCAGTTTATTCGTCCCTTGAGGTGTGGCCAGTTGGTGCGGGAATTCCGCCAGGACAAAGAACCACCATTTTCCTGGCATGTTTGGATTTTCGCATCAAAACATGTGGGAAATCATATCTACTAACATCAGTTTGATTCTCTTATCAGAACATGTTTTTTGTTTCCTTTTTTTTTGTACTCATGATTATATAACCCAGTAGCAAAACATGTAAATGTGATAGGGCATTCTAATGATCATGTCATAAAATACCATTGAACATTACACATTCGTTAAGAACATCATGTAATATGTAAACAATTCCCAACTAGTACTAATTACGGTCAATTCTCCACCATATGACAGGTCAAAAATTGGGTATTGGAAAATTATATGTGTATTCTTCAAATGAACATCAAACATCATCAAACAATTATTCCCAACTATATTACTAATTACGGTCAATGATTCCCAACTACCACGTACTACCACTAATGTGGTTAAAACAATAATAATCCATCCCACAAATTACCATTTGTATAGGCGGTATGTTTACCATTCCCAGATGGTTGTTTTTTGTTTTTAATTGTTTGTCCCATATTTTAATTATGGTCAACTACCATTTTAATGCGTAAATCAACTATTTCGACTGGGCCATTTTCAATAGCAACCTGTTAGTCTTTGTTGATGAACGATTTCCCTAGCAATTTCCTGTTACCCTCTGGTAAACATACCAAAAACTATGGAAAATCACCATTTTTAATGGGTAAATCAACTTTTTCTATGGGCCATTTTCAAAAGCTATGTTTGACATTACCAGAGGGTATTTCCAAAAAAAGGTCATTCGTAGCATCCAGTGACCCAGCGATTTCCCTCCTTGGCTTCCACTGCCTCTGGCAGAATGCCCTTGGAGGCCGCCCAGGCGATGGTTTCCATACACTTCTCCGCCTTGGAGCACTGGGAATTTCATGGTGATTCCATGGACAAGTGATTAATGATGATTCATGGTGATTTTTATGGGATGTTCATGGTGGTTAATGGTGATTTTATATTTGACTGGTGACTAATTGGATGACATGTTACTGATATTTTTGGCAATAATTTGATATTTAATGAATTTAATGATATGTTTGGCACTGCAATAGAGGTTCCAAGATAGTACAGATCAAGTGTGGTATCTGTTCACAGCAGTGTGAAACTTCCTGACTGACAGGCTCAATGGGATGTTCATGGATTTTATGGTGATTCACTGGGGTTTAATGTGATTTTATGGTGATTGAATGGTGGCTGAGTGGGAATGTCGTGGTGATTTAGTGGTGATATAACAGTGATTGAATGTGAATACTATGGAACAATCATTCATGCATGGGATATCTAATTTTAAGTTGTTAATAACGCTTAATAATGGGGTAATCATTGTTAAATGGTGGGGTAATGGTTGCTCAATAATGGCTAATTGATGTGGTAAACCCAATCTACCATTTGGGATGGTATATAGAGGCAATGTATCGTGATTTTGGGGATGAATAGAATCTTGACTTGTCAAAACTCCAACAAGGACATATGATCGACATTTCCGGATTCTATGTACTTCAGTATGATTACATATAATCGTATATATATATATATACAGGCCAGAAAGGCATACAAGCATATGTAAATCTACCCTACCTACCCTACCCTACCCTACCCTATCTATCTATCTATCTGTCTATCTATCTATCTATCTATATTAATGAAACAGTATTGGTTTATGTATACCTACATGCGAACATCGTATATTCTTTATTTACATTCCTTCAATGAATTTGTGTTTATAACATATATATATATATATATAAATGTGTATGTATGTATGGAATGGCTGACACAATAGTATTAGAATAATACTATTTATATAGACCAGATTGCACACATGTGCGTGTGGACAATACGAATATGCTGCCCGAGTGACACCGCAGAAAAAAAAAAAACATATAATGAAACAATATCGTTCAGTTGCCATATTTGGGACCAACACTGCGATACAAACTTGCAATATGTATATATATATAAATATTTATATATATATATGTATAAGTTGCTACCCCATCTTCCATCTGCCCACTTCTAGCTGAGCCACGCGATCGGCGAGGGATGTAGCAAGAGACGAGGCTCCATAATCTTTCAGAAGCAATTCCTGGCATAAGGCTCAAGAAATCCTAATGAAAAGGTTTTACGCCTTTTACTTTTCGTGGCTAAGAATATCTACAAAAATGCAAAATTGTGGAACGAAACGATTCCATGCGATCCCATACAACACACTATGTCCTCCGACCCCCGATTTTGGAGCCTTTGCCTTTGGATTTGTCTCGGTCTATTGGAAATGAGGCACGTGCACTGGGCCGTCTTAACCAATCAAATGGTCAAATGTGGCGCGTGAGGATAGTTTAAACTTAGATTTATCGCTGTGCCAACCAACCTAGAGTCCTGTTGATCACCTCCCTGCAGCATGTTTGGAAGAATTCACAGCTTTAGAATCTTGAATTGGGGGGTTCCATAAATTGGGATACCCCCAACTAGATGGTTTATAATGGAAAATCCTACATAAATGGATGATTTGGGGTTCACCCTACTTTAGGAAACCTCCAATTGGGAACTGAAATCACCATTGATCCAGAGATGCTCTCGGTGACGCTCTTGGCTATAAGTTGGTTTAACAAACCCATTAGATCGATAGAATAAACATGAATAAACATAAATAAACCATAGGAATCGCAAAGTTACAATCCAGCTTAACAAACTATGGGGTATCACCCAAACATCAAAAATTGATCATTGTACCCAATGATTCCCATTATATATATATATAAACACCCCAAAAAGGATCACAAGAGTTGGAGACCTGGAAAGTCTTTAAAAAATCATCATCAATACCATCCTGGAAATACATGTTGGTATTCTTTTTTTGGGTGTTATTTTCATACATACCATCTGGTCATTTAACATAGCCATGGAAAATCCCTTATAAATGGAGGTTTTAATGGGCAAATCATCTATAAATGGGCCATTTTCCATGGCTATGTTAAATAACCAAAGGGTACTAGTACTATAAATCCTATTGAAAGCGTTTTTTGTCCCACCATCCCTGTAGGGTTGCCACCAAGTCACTAGGAGTTGGTCCACTCCCTGTGTTTTGTCGGCTTCCTCCAGCCTTGAGGGCTGGAATGTTGTGCCATCCACAGTCAAAAATGGGTGGAAATGGAGATTAACCATGTTGACTATCAACAAATATGGAACTCATGGGATTTCATGGGGGCTCATGGGTTTCCATTGCCATGCCATGCTTGGTCACCAGAGGGTAAGCGAGGGTAAGCCTACTAAATTAGGACATCAAAGTTTTGCGGGGCTTAACCATTTATTTGCTTGCGTGGCTGCCATCAGAATTATCAAATAATCAATTGATACTGATTACATTGTTGTACAATTTTGTGCATGTTGTCGTTGTCGTTGTCGTTGTCGTCGTCGTCGTCGTCGTTGTTGTTGCTGCTTGCATTGCAACAAAAACCGACAGAAGACAATGGGTTGGGGCTGGTGCCTGTTGAAGTATGAAATTCGAAGATCCACCAAGCAAAGGATTCGCGCTGGCCAACTGGGAGCAGTTGCAATACAAAACGGCAAAAACCATCAAAGACCTACAGCTGAGTGCGGACGAAGCTAGGATTGTTTGAAGATCAAGTATTTCAAGTTCAAGTTCAAGTCACCATGTTGCGTTCATGTGGGGATGGGTTTGACACCTATGATGCCAATTATTTGGTCTGAACATTCATTTGCCAGCTATGTTAAATGATCTTTTGTTGTTCACCAGGATTTTCAGCGCCAGCGATTTCACCAGGACTGAGGAACTTCTTGCTGGGCTCCGGCTCCGAAACCAGCTGGTCACCTCGCTGGAATCATGCGCATTCAACCCCCAAGTTAGGTGACTTCTCGGCAGATGATTGGAACGCTGGTGCTTCAATATCTTTATGTCAAAAAACAGACTTGAACCTGAAACAGCCTAGATTTGAGGCTGTTTAACTCCTGGTTTCACCAATCGGTTTTTCCTTTAACCAATCCATTGGCAATCATTGGCTCCACTATAAGAGGCCACCAATGAAGCGATCCATCACCTCCAGAAGTCAATGGCATCAATTGGTATCAAATTCTTCGCTTCCCAATCATGAGGATACATAAATGATACAAAAAAAACAAGTTTGAGTGTTACTCATGTATCTTTTGTTTCAGTGCACCCAAGTATATCACAATTCATGTCTGCAGGTGAAATCACGAGTTCTCCGTTCAGTTTCCATCATTTTCATTCATTTTCCCTAATGTTGTTAGTTATGAAGTTATGATTCATGAATCTCAAGAAAGCGTCAGGCAGTCATTTGTTTCAAAGCAACTTCCTCAAACCAGGTACCGGCGCTGATAGCGGACCCGGTGTCTTTAATGATTTTTATTTCAAGCATTATGTATGGATTTGTTTAAAACTGTGGCGCCGTGACGATTTTGTTATTTTACCCAGAATTAGAAATGTTGTTTTCGTCCCACGTTACGCTAGGAATTTATTCATTGATCATTGAATTCTAATTAGGATAAATAATTGACAAATGTGGATTTTGGAAAACGAAACCTCCACAGCTTTTGAAGCTCGACTTTTTTCCTTCATGGATTCAGCGTTTGCGTTTGCTGACCTTTGCGCACATGTTGAAGCGGTTTCCTTTCAAGTCCTCCTTGTTGTTCCAACGATAGGCGAAGGAACACACTTATATATTGTTGGATCCTTTGAGAATCCTTCCTGGTAACTTTGTCTTTGCTATGGACCGAGAAGGGTACGAAGTGACAAGAGACATGTTACAGCGTAGCATCCAGAGCGTCTGGCAAGTGACAAGGGACATGTTACAGCGTAGCATCCAGAGCGTCTGGCAAGTGACAATGAGACATGTTACAGCGTAGCATCCAGAGCGTCTGGCAAGTGACAAGAGACATGTTACAGCGCACCCCTTGCCGTCCCACCCCACACCCCCCCACACCCCCACCCCACCCGGGTCCCCAAGAAAATCACACTTCGTGCGATACTTCTAACTGACGTGCAATACTTCTAACTGACGTGCAATACTTCTAACTAACGGGCAATACTTCTAACTAACGGGCAATACTTTTAACTGACGTGCAATGCGACAGGAAAAAAACAGCAAAACCTGCGGGTCCGTTAACAGCGCCCGTAGCTAAAACCACCATGATTAATCCCCATAAAACAGCCATACCTCGCCCATGAAACCCCCACAGGGTGGTGCTAAACCATAGCATTTATAGACATATCTCATATCCACCAAAAAACCTGGTAAACATGGTAAACTTGGAAATATTTGAATCAACTTAGCTAACGAACTGGGGCACCATCTTTGAATTATTAGCAACTATGAACCACTTTTTTCACCATAATTGACCATTATTAATCCCTTATTCATCCCTATTTCTTATTAATTAACCACTATTCGTTCCGATCAATCCCTACTAAATCCCTAATATTCTAATATTCACTGGTTGGTGGTATACCTACCCCTCTGAAAAATCATGGAGTGTTCGTCAGTTGGGGTTATGAAATTCCCAACTGAATGGAAAGTCATAAAATTCCATGGTTCCAAACCACCAAATTCATGTTCCAGTCACCACCAACCAGTACGGATCGACCCCCGCCGGCCTGGACGCTGCACCTTGCGACTCGGTCCTGGCGAAGCGTCCTCGAGATCGGGCTCCCGGTCGCGCTTCCTGCGCCGCGCCGTGGCTGCAGCTGGGAGTCTTTAAGTCATCTGTAGCAAAGATATCCACTGATTTAAGGTGGTTTAAGGTGATGGCTTATGAGGTTTTTATGATGATTTTATGATGGTTTAAGGTGAATTTAGGGTGATTTTATGATGATTTTATGATGACCTATGATGATTAAAGGTGGTTTTTTGATGATTTGTATAGGTGACTTATCATGATTTGCAATTTAAAATTGTCGACATGTTTGGCACAAGGTAAACTAAATGGTGATTTGAGATTCTAATCCCTTTCTCCATCGGCGCTATGGAGATTGGATGGCGAATCCATCCCATCGCCCGAGAGCGAAACTGTGCCGTCATGGCTGAAGCACGAGCACGGCAAATCCACATTTTTCAGAGTAACACCACCATTTTGAATCCCCATGCCTAAATCATTTCTACATATGTTTGCTATCATTCATCCTAATGTTGTTGGGTAGGTATGACCTTCATAAACTCCAAGTAATACCAATACCCTCAGTTGCCATAAAACAAATCCCACTAAATCACCATTAAATCTCATTAAAGCCTCATGAAATCCCATTGAGCCACCATGAAATCCTGAAATCCCAGAAAACCCATATCACCCCATTACAACAATAAATCACAGTTTTTTTTGTGAACCATCTCCTTTGGTCCCCCATGGCCCCTTTTGCCAAGCCACTTGGGTGATGGCGTCGCCACCATCTGCAAGGCCGCGGCATCGAAGGCATCGTTCGGAACGGGGGGCGCCTTGCGGCGGTGCCGGCGCCGCAGCCCGGCCTGTCCTAGGAACTCCAGGACGACCCGGCGCAGTTGTGACCTGGGAGGTGATTGGAAATGGGACTACCAATATTAACTGATGTTATTTAACTAGTAGGATTATATATATAACACTATTATAACTATATCATAAATGACTAGTGTTTATATATATATTAGTATGATTCACCACTATTAATATTGGTACATATTTAAAAAAAACTAATGTTATTGGGATTATAACAACTATTATTCATCTATAATATATGAACATTGTTGGCATCATGATTATTAACTATTTGATTGTATTTATATATTCTCATTATTGGGATTATAACTGTTATAACTATAACTACCATTGATAGTCTACACATATATACATAGATTATTGGGATCATAAGGAATACCTGGAGATGGAATGAACAGTACATGTCCGTAATCTAACAAATGAAATGTATCAACAACGGCATGATAAAAGTGAGACAGTGTGCAAGGTGCAAATCCCTTAAGGAGCAGGATCCTTTTGTTGTTCCCTTGCAATATATATATATACCTACGTATTTATCTATTTTTATCTATTGGAATTATAATAGCCATTATATAATCCCAAATATATATATATATATGCTACTTGATATAGCACTAGTATAATATAGTGTGAAATAATAATAATATATATATATATTACACTTTTTTGTCAGGGCTTCGCGAAGGACAAATTATCAATATTGATATATCATATAGAAGAATATTGGAATGGGACTATAATTGTCAGGGCTGCCTGTTTGATGATTATTGGATGCTTGGAAAATGGGAATTGAATGGGATAATCAATTACTAATCCATCACCGACGAGACTAATGGGATGATTGGGAAAAATATTGGAATAGAATGGACTGAATAAAAAAAAATATGGTGTCCTTTTGCAAAAAAAACAACAAGGGTTGGTTTGACCTATCATTTATTATCATCTACCTACTGATTGTTGTAAGTGTGAGTTCTCTATTAATCAACCAACCAGTGGTTGATTAGGACATCTATGCCACTGGAATGGAAAATCCCTTGACGAAATGGAGATTTTAATGGGACAATTATATCTATAAATGGTGGATTGTCCATTTCCATGATTACCAAAATTTACCTCCAGAAATTGACGTTTCTCAAGTCATTTTTTTGAACGAAATCCGTAGTTTAATCATTTTTTTTCACCAATTCGTGGTGTTTTGGGGGTCAACCATTTAAGAACAACCCCTATTGAAATGTTGTGCAATAAGCATCAATAAACAATCTATAAATCAGTTTACATGTAAATAGTTCAAGGAAAAACGCACGTAAGTAGTTGCTGTGGAGACTCATTCAGCTAAACAAAGCTAAGCCATGCTGATGAATCTTACCCATAGTTCCAGTACACTCCTATGATCCTTAACGGTTTAGTTTATATATATATATATGTATAAATGTGTTTTCTCCACTCATGTGGGAAAAACAATGTCATAAACCAACCATTTTCCTGGGAATGGTTTATATATACCACCTATCAAAAATGATGATTTTCCTCGGGGATGGTGGGTTTATGGCATTGTTTTACCATCATTAATTGATAGTTCATACCCTCTGGTAATTTAACATAACTATGGAAAATCACAATTTATAGTGAATTTTCCCATGACAAAATGTGATTTTCCCATCCGTTTTTTCTATGTTTACCAGGCCGGGTAACCCCCGCGGGGCCCATCACCTCACCAAGCGTCATGAGTTCCAGGTCCGCTTGCTGAGCTTCCGCCAGCTCCGTGGCCATCAACTCATCGTGGATTTCTTGCGACAGCGACCTGGGGGGCCTGGATGTGGGGGACCTGGGGGACCTGGGGGACCTGGGGGACCTGGGGAACCTGGGGGACCTGGGACCTGTCGGCTGAAACCATGGGCGACCCACCATGCATTGGACGATTTGTTCGGATTAAATGTGTGGGTTTCGGACTTTGGTTCCCATGAACCAGGTCGATTTACCTACCATAAACCCTAGTGAAATATTAGGTATACTAGGTAGTGAAAAACGCACTTAGCTCAGGAACTGGAGCACCTGGGATGGCGAATGGGATTTTACCATGGGGAAGTACTATGGCAACTATGGGAACATGTTCAATATAATGGAAATATATCACGGGATATCACCAGCCAACAATGTGTATATGGGTCTGTCTGAAAATGCGGAATTCTACCCCAAAGTGAATGACGGTGCAGAACACAACATCTTCCTCGTGGGTGAAGGTTATACTGTATATTGATATGGAATTTATGTGTAACCCCTGCCAAGAAAAATCAACGATAAACGCAGAAGGTAACATTTCTGGTTGTTGGGCCCCTGGAATAGGCCCTGAAAGGCCCTGAGATCATCTGAAACCCAACAGCCTGGATTGGGAAGCTGGCAATTCGAAGATATTCTAAGGTCAGGTACCCTCAAGTAAACATACAAAAAACGATGGAACATCACCATTTTTAATGGGTAAATCAACTGTTTCTATGGCAATTTTCAATAGCAAACCGTTAGAGTAATCCAAGGAGTTGACCGGCCATTGGCCAACCCCTGGTGATAAGCTAACCTGAAGAAAACCTCAAGGGGTTGCTGAAAATGTTGCGTATTACTGCATCTTGATATATCTTGATCATCTTGAGCCCCAAATTTGTTGGATTCAACACCTGATCCAAACTTCATGGCTCCCATGGCTCCCATATGCCCCATTGGCCAGGCCACGCCAAGGCGTATGCACATTGGGGCGACACTGCCACAGCCACAGCACCAGTGCTTTCATCATCCAGCAAGGAAGGCGCCCGATTCCAGACCTGAGATATGCAGCTTAGAGGATGTCACAGGGTTTCCAATAAACAAAAAGTGGCTGGTCGAATCTTGGATTTCTATACTTTCAAACTGGACACTATGGCCCAAGAATTGATTTAAATGACAATCATTAAACAACAAATCGGAAAGTGAACGGCCATAGTTTTACAAGTCGTCCTGCAAGTAGCGCCGTGCGCAGTTGCCGGTCACATACTGGGCAAGGTGGTGATTCAATTTGGCATGTGCCCTACTACCAGGTGATATGCATCACTATTCATGGTCCTGAACTTAGTTTTGAGGATTTAATTTTGACGAATGTGGTAAACCCAATATTAGACATTATTAAACCATATTCAGTTTCACCAGAAATGGATTCCGGACAACCCCTATCCATCCGGCAGCGAGGGATCCCTTGATGGGCCGTGAGCACATCCCCCTTGGGGCAATATGTTTGTCTAAACTTATGGATCTTATGGATTCTGTAAACATGATTGCAGCATGTTGAAAGCCGAAAACCAAAACAGGTTCTGCGTACACATATTTATACATGTACATATATATATATATATACAGATACATATGCACAATATTATGTACACATATGATGTACAGTGTAGACCATCGAATGGTTGGTCAAAACCCTGGCACCCTACTGTAGGTACACCAAAATAGCTGGTATAGCTGGATGGTTATTCTCCCCCAACAGACACAGTCACCACTGACCAGGACGCCAATCGTAGCAGGGACAGTGCTGCCTTCTCTAAAAGTGGCCTTCGTAGGACCTGAAGATCTAAGATCTGTTGTGGCGCTTCAAAAATACCCTTTGATGCGTGGAAAACATGTGAAAATCAGTGAAAATCCATTTAAATCGGTTTCTCTGACATCTAAAATCGCTCACTTTTGAACAGGGAAACTATAATTTTCAGCTGGAGGTATCATAATTTGGGCACTTTACTGTCAGGCAAATCCACAACATATAATTTAAGAGAATGAGTTCAGGGACAGCTGAAAACCCTGAACTCATTCCTCACAAGGCCGGATTTGGTACAGCTGAGGAAACATGTGAAGCAGCTGAATCTACACCCAGCCCAAATCGCTCATGGCTCAGCCAATCTCAAATGAGTTTAATGTGGAAAAACAATGCCATAAACCAGCCATTTGGGAATGGTAAGCATGCCACCTATATATGGTGAATTGGGGGATGGTTTATTGTTGTTTTACCCACATTGTATATGACCCAACCTATTCAAGCTAATCAGTCCACTTCAAGGTGAGCGTTCTGGTCTTGTTGCATCCGAGAACTCACCTGACAAACTGCATAGAAAGCATGCTTCAAAGGGAATATCAATCAACTGCCCTTAGTAGCAACTGATTTCGAGGTATCTGGGTTCCTACCTCACTGTTGAACAAACATATAAAACAAAAACTATCCTTGGCTTCCATCCCAATAGCTCCCAACTAGTTATGGTTTACTTGTTCTTCTATGTTTCTCAATTCCCCGAATTTCAAACTCTCAAACTTGGGGAAATACCGCCATCCTTCAAAGTCGTGGCACTAAATCGTGCATGGGTTGCAATTGGGGACGCAGGTGGCCGTTCCAATCACTCTGCCAACACTTGGTGATGCCAACCAGGATGCCTCAGTTGATATGCCAAGGCTTCGTGAACTTCGTGGCCAACCCCGAAGACCAAGGGAAGTTCAAAAGTTTCAATGGTACAAAGGATGTCTTTTCACGGATTCGTTTCAGGGGAAATCTACGGTTGAAAACATGGGTTTTGACATGTTTTTGACTCTGTCAACATTCCCTTCAAGCACATTCGGGGCAAGTTGTGTCTGTTGCTGAATCTGGCAAACTGTTGATCAGGAATTCCACCATATTCCACTATCAAAAAAGTGGACCGTAACCTGCTAAAGACGCGGTAGCCCCAAAAAGGGTTAATGGTTGCCACGGTCGGTGTGAAGTTCAATCACCATCTTGGCAATTGATGATTTCTTCCCTGGGCCAACAGCCTCCTGCCGGGTTACAATCCAAAATCCAAAATATCGGCTGCCAAAAGCCCATATGGGCAATGTGCTCATGATTCAAGGAAATCCGTATGATACATATATGTTTTGTGTTAAGATTTCCTTGTGAGATGCAAATATTCTATCCAGCCCTTTCCATGATGCGTCATTCACATTCCTTGACAGTCCAGGGCTCCAGGGGTGCAAGAACATATAGCCAAATATTCATGGCACAAAGGTCACGATGACAACAGTCGCATTCTCATTCACGGCAGCTCATGACAACGTTATCAAGTTTTCACCAAAAAATACGGATAATTTCTGGCAAAGTCCTGCCCCTTTGGCTGTCAGAAGAAATTTCACAAACTTCGGAATGGCGACCAGCTTGTGGGGAGATTAATTTGTAGGGATTTTTGGGCATCTCAAAAAGTACTTTTTGAGCTATTTTGAGCCAAAAGTGACTCGTGCTAGCATCGTGATAACATCAACGTGTTTCACAGGTTTGAAAACGTGACATTGAACAACTTTGAACCCAAAAACCAAAAAATGAACCTTTGAAATGAAATTTGGTATTGCGTTTGTGTGTTTTCATTGGTTTTTGTTCAAAGCTTGAACTGACATGAAATATGGTGTTGTCATTGTTGCCGTTGTGAATAGCCTTTGTCACTTGGGTCAATTGTCATGAGGCTGCCACCTAACATGTGAACACGAACAAGTCAGCAACTTCAAAAGTAGAAAAAATGAATATTTTCAAGGGAATAACATTTTTCATTCGTTGGGCAGTGTATAAAGTTTGATGTTTGATCGCTGCGCCAGCATATAGTCACATTGCCAACACTGGCCAGCACCAAAAAATATTTACACATATGTCTTATGTACGCAAGCAGAAATACATGTGTAAACAAAAACGCTTTTTTAACGCTACCATGTGTACGCAGGAAATGAAATATACAAGCAGAACATAGATATGAAACGTTTTTTTATATAATAAAAGCGTGCTTTTACAACAGTATCTAACCGTGAACATTGTTGAATATCTACTGGCATACCTGTTTACACTTGAGTGTATACATGCATACGGTTGTGGACCTGGAAATTGAAAAGTCAATATGTGTGGACGTGCACACATACCTATCCTTTGAAAAAGGCACTAACTAATTAGCATTTATGTTTACAAACCTTAATTACGATGTGTTTCCTTAATTGAGGTTTGTTCTTCAGTAATTGAGGTTTGTTTGCGCAAGAAACAAACTTTAGTTAAGGGAACAAAGTTTCAGTGGAGACTGTGGTTTTGTAAGGTTTGTTTTGAAGGCTCGTTTTTTGACACATGTTGGCACACATGTGTGATTCTGCGTAGGCATGCAATGGGCAAAAGGAACATATATACACAAATGTATATATATATATTGAGAGAGAGAGATATATATATATATGTAGATGTATTTTTACAATAATACACGCATGTTCAATAATCAACGTCGCACTTTATTTTATTTGTGGAGGATTTTGCGCATAGTCTTGTTGCATTTGTTGTTTTCCATGCCGTACGTCGTTTCCGATGCTGTATGGATAATAAACGGATAAGTTGTAAAAAATACGTTGATAACACATGGAAAATGAGTGGATGATAAATGGATAATATAAAGAAAATACGTGGACACTAAATTGATAATATCTACATATTTGATTTAATTTGGAAAATATTTGGCGAGTAAAGTGGAAATAAATGGAAACTCAGGAAATGAACGGATTATAAATGGATACTCAATTTATAAAAAATTAAATGGATTTCGTATTGCCTGTTTCTACTTCAAACAGATTGGACAAGGAATTTTGTATGGCCTATCTTTCTACTTTGCTTTTGGTCCTAGATACTGGCCTTATGTTGAGTCTATACTGAAAAATGCTGCCCTTGCTTTTGGTCCCAGACGCTGGCCTTTTGTTGGAGGAGGGATTTCGCATTGCCTTTTTTCAACTTTAAACATCTTGGAGGAGGGATTTCCGATGGATAGCACATGGATGAACAATTGGTAAAAAAGGGATAGTATTCTTATATGGATAAAGCATGGATGGTACATGGATAATGCATAAAGCCAAATGGATAATAGCTGGATATAATGGCTGAACAATGGATAATATTTGGACATTTGGACGGAAATGTGAAACTTTATGGAAGGAAACTGATAATATATGGAAGCAATAAAAAAAAATATTGGACGATATATGTATGGCATATGGATGAAACAATGATGACAGAATGGAAAATACATGGAAAATAAATTGCTAGTACATCGATAACAAACGGACGAGCACAAGACAATATGTGGTGATATATGGGTAGTAAATGGATAATTAATGCATGATAGATTGATAATAGCTAAATCCAATGCATGATTAATGCCAAATACATGAATAAACAATTGACAACAAATGGATAAACAATGATTAAACGGATAATAAATGGACATTGAATGGATACTATACATGGATAAAACATGGATAACTTATGGATAACACGTTGATCGCATATCGATATTGAATGTGTTATATGGACGCTAAATTAAGAATAATAGATGGATAAAATATGGATGGTATGTGGGTAGAATTGCTCAAAATCTTTTCAATTGCTCGAAAATGGCCTGCTATAGACCAAAACAAGTATTCAAACGCAATGGGCCTGGCCAGAAAAGTTTGCTCAAAATTGGCCTAAGGATTGCGTCTAGACTAAAACAAATATTAAAATAAAATGGGCAAAAACGTTACGACCTAGCTTCAATCTCCATAATTTGTGAATTCCAATTGTGCAGGAATGACATGTAGATTGAAAGGACTATTCAAATATACAAATTGCTGGCCGAACAAATTCCGCTCAAAATCGCTCAAAATCGCTCAAAATTGCTCAAAATTGCTCAAAATTGCTCAAAATTGCTCAAAATCTCAAAATGTCTCAAAATGTCTCAAAATGTCTCATACCTGCCCCAAAAATCCGCTCAAAATTGCTCAAAATTGCTCAAAATCTCAAAATTGCTCAAAATGTCTCAAAATGTCTCAAAATGTCTCAAAATGAGTTTTGAGAAAAATTGAGTTGATTTTGAGACATTTTGAGACATTTTGAGACATTTTGAGACATATTGGGACAGATTGAGACATTTTGAAGCAAACTGGTAGTTGCTGACAGTGCCAAAGGCATGAAAAAATGTAACGCTGTTGCAAACTTTTTGAAACCGAAAGCAAACAGATGTGAATATTTACAAAAAAATTGATGAAATGGTGCTTTTGCTTATAGTACCGCAGCATGAATACTTACAGAAAAGTTTGATGAAACACTGTTTTTGCTTATAGTACCGCAGCGTGAATGCTTACAGAAAAGTTTCATGAAACACTGTTTTTGCTTATAGTACCGTAGCGTGAATACTTACAGAAAAAAATTTCCGCGCTGCGCGCGGAATTTTCTTGAACCTTAAGCTTGAAGGTTGCAACATGGAAAACATTTGGAAAAAAGAGTTTATACAAGAGTGCCGTGGCAAGAGTGCCTGCCTGCATGTCAGGTATGCTCAATTTAGCGCTCATCTCCAGTAGTAGCGTCTTGTAAGAGTGTCCCAAAACTGTGTCATAGCATCATAGCAGAAGTGTTGCTATTTAATGGACATAATCTGCCCTAAAATTATGGACACAACCTGCCACTAATTTATGCACATAACCTGCCACGAATATGGACATTACCTGCCAGTAATTTACCGACGTAGCCTGCCAATTTATGAACATAACCTGCAACCAATCTATGGGCATCACGCCGAACCCGGGTGGATCTGTCAAGCGGGGCAGCCGTGTCTTGCAAGAGTGTCCACAAGAGTGTCGTGGCAAGAGTTTCTTGCTGTCCCGCAAGAGTGTCCCATAGCCTGCCACTAATTTATGGACATAACCTGCCACTATTCTATGGAAATTACCTGCCAATAGTTTATGGACGCGACCTGCCATTAATTTATGGACATAACCGGCCAAGAATTTATGGACGTAACCTGCCACTAATTTATGGGCATAACCTACCACTAATTTGTGGCCTTAACGCCGACCACGGATGTATCAGTCAACTGGAGCAGCAGTGTCTCGCGAGAGTGTCCACAAGAGTATCGTGGCAAGAGTGCCTGCCTAAAAGTGAGGTATGCTAAATTTAGTGTGCCTAAATGGAATTAATGGAGTTTAGGTATGCATGTTTAGGCTTGCCTAGAAGTGAGGTATGCTAAATTTAGTGTCCCTAAGTGCCGTTTATAGAGTTTAGGGATGAAAAAATGGCGTCGCCTAAGATTTGCCACTCTTTGCACTCCAAGTGCTGTTCCTTCCACTGTCGCCGTCGTCGCTTGAGCCATAAAACGAAAACAGTTTTTTCAACCTTTTCGTGAAGGATGTTTCTAGGGTGTGAGGGTCTGCTTTGGTAATTTTCCCGTTGGTTTGGTATTGCTTTGGGGATTAAAAAGGGGCGACTTTTTAGCCCCAAAAAGGGGCTCCAAAAATAGGTCAAAAAGGCGCCCCCCCAAAGTCCCAAACCAAACGGAAAATTACTAGTCTGCTTATTGGTTCTTTCGCTCCCCTCATCATCCTAGCTCCCCCTTCTGTCGCTACACGCATTACAGTGGCAACGGCCAGATGAAGTGAGGATGCAGACAACCGTATTAGCTAACCAAGTGAAGCCACGAACCTGGATGCCAAGAACAAAAATCCTACCCTGCAGAAAAAGGATCCTAAATAAAAAATATATAAAAACAAATCTTGTAACCCTCCTAAAGGCTCCCGGCGGAGTGGATGAAGACGTCCCTTCTGACAGACAAGGGGGTGACACAATGGGGTAAGGGAAGCTATTAATAAATTAGTGGCAAGTTATGCCCATAAATTAGTGGCAGGTTATGCCCACAAATTAGTGGCAAGTTACGTCCATAAATTAATGGCAGGTTATGTCCGTACAATTAGTGGCAGGGTATGTCCAGAAATTAGTGGCAGCCTGTGGGACAACCTTGTGGTGTGGACACTCTCGCAAGACACTGCTGCCCGAGTTGACTGATCCATCCGGGGTCGGCGTTATGTCTGTAGATTAGTGGTAGGTTATGCCCATAGATTAGTTGCTATGCCAATCAATTAGTGGCAGGTTATGTCGATAAAATCTTGGCAGGTTGTGTCCATAAAGTAGTGGCAGGTTATGTCCAAAAATTACTGGAAGGTAATGTCCATAGATTAGTGGCAGGCTATGTCCGTAAATTAGTGGCAGGCTGTGTCCATAAATGAGCGGCGCTCCCGCTATGATTTTGTGACACTCCTCTGGGACACTTTTACACGACACTCGTACTGGAAATAACCGCTACATTTTGCATACCTGACTTTTAGGCAAGCTTGAAAATGCAAACCTAATAAGTAATATTATATTAAATTAAACAAGATCTATGTGTTTTGACAAGGGACATTTATGTTCTGGGAGCAACATCGATACTCATTGTTTTAAGACAACAAAAGATCACAAAAATGACAACAATGACAGCACATGACAAACAAATAACAAACAAGGACAAAATTGACAACCCTGAGGCTCGAAGTTAAGGCCTCGAAGTTAAGGTGTGATTCCATTTTGGTGATAAAAATGGAAAATGGATGGACCATATGTGGTTCATGCAATCATAATTTCCATGCTAAACGGGTCAAATCCATGCCCAATTTCTCTCATCAGTTCATACAATTGACACAAATGACTCAGCTGCACACTGAGCTGGCTAACGTAATCACAACGTGTTAGCATCGTGAGCAGGTAAACGTTCAATCAACGTTTTACCATATTTTAGATTTTATCTTTTTGAAAATATTTTGTCTTTTTTTAATATTTTGTAAAAAAAAATATGAAACCACATTTGTTTGCACAATGTTCTGGACAACAAATTAGTCTACCAAATTTCAGATTAGCCTACCTAAATTTCAGAAATGCCTATGTCATTTTCAAATCACCTAGGCATTTCTGAGATCAGGTAGGCATTTCTGAAAGTCATGAAGGGCAAACCCCTACAAACTAATACCTTACGATCTGGGATGCATTCTTAAGTTTGTGAAAATTATTCCAGGCATTTTTGGTTTGATAATTACTGACCCCATCCCCCTTCAGAACTATCATCGGATGCATTTGCGATCGCAATCTGTCGCAAAGCTCCGCCAATCAATCACCAACCAATCACAAAAAATGCACGACGGGGAGAGGACCAATCACCGAGTGACATTCCAACATGTTCGGCAGCAGATTCTGCCCAACCTTCCTCGGAGAGCTTGAAGTTGGTTGAAGCACATTAGGCTGTTTGCTCAGATTTAGTGTAGTGGTCAAAAGTCCCAATGTGCTCCATGAATATTTCACCATTTTGTGTGTGTGTGTCTCTGTGTGTCTGTGTGTGTCTGTGTCTGTCTGTCTGTCTGTGTGTGTGTAACGTCTGTACAGATGTAAAACTTCATTTCTATATATTATATTTTATATTATATTTTAAGCAGGGGGCAGAGGGATCTCCAGATGTGGCCTCTGCCAACGAAGCTCCACAGGAAAACGTACCTGCTCTATATCATATATATAGTCCCGCTCCTGGGCGCATTTAAGACGCAGCTGGGGGGGACATATACTTTATCGCTGTTGGTTTATACGGTCAATGCCTACTGTGATTATACGTCTCTATTTATAGATAGATAGATAGATAGATAGACAGATAGATAGATAGATTTATTTATTTATTTATTCATTTTATGTAACTAATCTAATCTCATTATATGTAACTAGTCTAATTGCACGTTTACAGGACTCAGTTCCTGATGGATCTATTCAAAGATCCAATCTTGTCTAGTGTAATATCCATGGTGGCTCCGACATGGTGCCATGGAGCCATTGGAGGCAACCCTGTTTAGGGTGACTGTCGACTGACCAGATTACCGAATTGACATTTTTAAGTGAGTAATTCATCTAAGTAAAGCGTAACAGTTGGCCTTTCCGTTCTGCACCTTTGGTGAGAAGTCCTGCTGCTCCGGCCGTCCCAGTGAATCTTACGGAATGCATTTCTGCCAGTGTGATGCCTGTCCGAACTGCCAGAAACTTCTTTTTTGCCACTGCAGCTTGAGTTTTCGAAGTTCAACATGACATGTACGACAACAGGCAACAGGCATGTTCTCTTCCTGCAGGTGTGGTCTCTTTGGTTTTTGGTGAGGTTGAACATATTGTGCACCTAATTCATTGGAACTCGTATAGTCGAGCCGTTTTATGCCCTTGTGGCTGACCTGACTACCGTCCCGGCAAGGGAACAACGCACGACCTTTAGGCTTGGTGGAACTGAGTCCTTTTAATTTTGTTTTTCCTTCGTTGATCAACTAGTTCCCCATTCGGTCCCTTATTTCATGCGTTCTTCCCTCCCTAGGTAGGTTGGGTCTTGCGCGTGCCGAGGTAGGCGTAGGTTGTCGCTGTGTTAGGTTGGTTCAGGCGCTTCCGTCTTGCCCCCCCTCCGCTGGTCTTGTTCCGTGTCCGTCGGCCTCCGCTTTTCTCTTCTCTTGCCCCTTTCAGGGTTTGCCCGCTCCGGGCCAGGTGTGTTGGTGTGTGTTTGCTCCCTCCCTCTTCTTTTGTGTTCCCCTCCTCGCGTCCCGGTTAAGTAATCCTTCATCTCATCTTCACTTTCATCTCATCTTCATTCCCCTTTTCACCCTCATCTTCACCTCATTTGCACGGACACCACCCTGCCAAAGGCAGGGTGTGTGTGTGTGTGTCTGTGTGTGTCTGTGTGTGTCTGTGTGTGTCTGTGTGTGTCTGTGTGTGTCTGTGTGTGTCTGTGTGTGTCTGTGTGTGTGTATGTGTGTGTGTAACGTCTGTACAGACGTAAAACTTCATTTCTATATATTATATTATATATTATATTTTAAGCAGGGGGCAGAGGGATCTCCAGATGTGGCCTCTGCCAACGAAGCTCCACACTGGATGATCAAGAAAACGTACCTGCTCTATATCATATATATATATAGTCCCGCTCCTGGGCGCATTTAAGACGCAGCTGGGGGGGACATATACTTTATCGCTGTTGGTTTATACGGTCAATGCCTACTGTGATTATACGTCTATATATATATATCATTTTATGTAACTAATCTAATCTCATTATATGTAACTAGTCAAATTGCACGTTTACAGGACTCAGTTCCTGATGGATCTATTCAAAGATCCAATCTTGTCTAGTGTCTGTGCGTGCATTTCACTATCCCAACCAACGTAGATCCTGAGAATAGCCGCCATATTTATAGCGTAGAGGAAAGAATTGTCCCCTCCCCAACATTGCAGGGTCGTCACGTTGGCTGGAGGGGTGGTAGAGGGTCCGTGTGCTCGATATCTGGGCACAATGTGGTGATCCGAGTGTCACTGCCTCCTCCCTGCCGTTCAAACGATAGAGATGCAGCAAGGAGGAGAGGAGCCTGGGTGGAAACAATGAGGTTCTCAAATTGTCTGCCTCAAAATGATGTGTACTGCGTTATTATCTGTACACAAATGGGAAACAAGGGTGTAGGTTTGGGGGGCTTAGGAGAGGAAAAAAAAACGGCAGAAGAAAATGGATGTGGTACGATGTGGTTGGGGGTCGGCTCAACATCAAAATTATGAGCCCCAAAATTGGATGGTTTCATTCAGTGCTAAAAAGTTTTGACCCATACCTGTGAAACCAACGGAACCAACCATGGATGGAGGGATCATGGGAATGGCTTGCATCACATTTAGATTGGAAACACACATACCTACAAACTATACAGTAATCGAATATAATCACAGATCCCTCACAATATCCCACGATATTCCCATTCATTGCTGGTAAATCCCAATTAAATCCCATTTTGCTGGGTGTTTAGCACCGTATTTTGAGTGGTTCACCATTACAATCCCATTGTTTTCCTCTAAATCTCCATAAGCATCCCATGGACTTGTCCCCATGTTCAATTCCGTTTAATCCCCATGTTTACCCTCTGGTAAACGTTTACATAACTATGGGAAATCACATTTTTCAATGGGTAAATGAAGGAGAAAAAAACAGCCAGTTTCATCGAGTGTCAATAGCTATGTCAGCTATGTTACTTTGCCAAAGGGTAATCCCCGAAATCAGATGATGAACTCCGCCACCGTCCCAAGGAACTCGGCCACAATGATGAGCGCCTCTTCCTTGGCCACACGTCCACGGGTCAGGATGCAGCGGGACTCGACCTGGGCCCAAGTCGATGTGAAACAAAGAAGTCGATGTCGTCGATGTCAACTGGGGTGGATCAAAAGATCATCTGTCAATTTTCTGTTGTCAATACAATGCCATTCTTACCACCCATTTTCCTGGGAATGGTT